GGGGGGGGGAACAATGAAAGTTTGTTCTTGTTCTACTCCAGAGGCAGATTGATCATATTTATGACACTTTGTAAAAGAAAATGCAGTATTTGGTATAACTAAAAAAACATGTAAAAGTGAGAGAAAGGTTCAAAATCCCATTGATCACAGGTGGAGAAAGAAGCATCACAAGAATTTATTTAGAAATAAAGTAAAATGTTTATCTTCTGGGAGAGGGGCAGGGGTTGGGAGTTAACATTACAGACTTGAGGCTGATTTGAGTTAATTTTACTAGAATGTCTCGTTTCAGTCTTCCTCGGCCGATGTATCTCCATCTATCACCCCCTGTGGCACACCCCTCAGTGGCACACATGCCCCCAAGTATGGCACAGTCATTCCAAACCGCATCTTTGTAGGCGGTATTGCAGCAAATGTAAGTATATACTGTGGATTTGCATAAGAACACACTGAGAACATAGCGTATTCTGTTTTATTGAATTTTGAAGTAGGATATTGATATAAAATGCTTCTAAAGGTTTGAAGTCTTTTGGGAAATTGATGATAGGCAGATATTATACATTATGTGAAAACTAAACATCCACCCAAAATGATGGTGACAATTACCTTATGTCTAACTGTAAGCAATGTCACTTAAAATTTTTGGAATAAAAATAACTTGGTTTGCGGAAAAAAATACTTGGAAAAGAAGGTCTTTGAAGTTTAAGAAATCAAGAAACAAAGCATAATTTGAAAATCAGTTGAAGTTGGTTTTGAAAATTTGTGTTCTACATGTCAGATTCTGGTCAGGCCTATGCTGTTCTAAATCGGCATCTTATAGATCTCTTGTCCACAAGATTTCTCGAGTTCATTTCACACAGCTTTTAAGTCCAGATTGATATGTGTATTTTTGCATAGTTTACCTGTTTGAAGTTAAAACTGGTTAATGTGTGAAGAATTTAACCTGTACACAGCACTACAATGTATGCTAACCAGCTTGTTTGGCCATGCACTTTATTGCAGACTACAGAGGCCGAATTGAAGCAATTTTTCCAGGCCTATGGAGCTGTGAAGGACTCCAAGATTATCGCTGATCGAGCTGGAGTGTCCAAAGGGTAGGCTGTGTCATAGTTTTCATGCTCAAGAATCTTAATAATTTGGCGTAATACTTTCAGTATCTGTATGGAGTAATTTAAAAATTAAATAAAATCAAAGTTTACAGACATGTAAGTCTCCTGGATAAAATGGTGGCAAAGCACTCCATGCCTAGGCAGCATGCATGATAAACTATCCCAAAACCCAACTGGTGCAATTAACAGGTCAGCAGTAAAAAACTACTGAGGATCTTATGATTGTGTGGACTCTCTGATACTTCATACAACAAAAACAGCCAGGGTCATAAAATGTGATCAGTAGCTATAGCCTGTTAGCAGGAAAAGCTGCAAAGTGTATGAAAAGAAATTACTTTGAACTATATTTAACTTTACAAAGGAAAATATGTAAAAACACTCAAATTTTCCTGAACAACCAAAGGGCAGGGGTCGACACTAACGGTAGACCGGAGGACCGGGTCCACCAAAATCTTGGACGGTCCACTTAATCTCCAAAGCTGGTAGACCGCCGGTCCACCACATATTACTTGATTAGTGTATATATATTTGAGAATATTGTTCAGAAATATACTAATAAAGACTTTATTTCCTTCGCCAGCGAGCCGTAAAATCCCATCTGGTTAAAAAATGTATCGTATTTTCGTGTTGTTAACCCGCTAAAAGTTGTCGTTATCATTCTTGGACGAGTGAAGTGCGTGAATCCGCTTGCGGTAAGTCGGAATCTTTTCAGCGTTTGAGTCGCTTGTGGTATAGTTTGCCGCTATTATAAGCACTAAAATGACGATGACGTCACGATCACGGTGGTCAACCGGTAAATGAAGGTAAACTTAGCCTCACAATTTCGTGTTACGTTTT